AAAATCGCGTACTCTGATGTAATAGTAAGTCGGGGTGTTACAACATGGCTGCTGAGCTTAGTGATAACCAACCGTGTACCTGTTGACATCAAAACTCGGAAACAAAAGCATATCACTCAAAGTTTGTACAATGATAAAAAGAAACATAGACGACAAATGCATTTTGATGAACATTACCGTTACACAACCCCATAGAGTGATCAATATTTCTAAGAAGCATCACTGGAGTGCCGACCTTAAGGTGAAGTTTATGATTCGGAAGTCCAAAGCACTTGATCCCATTGAGAAATTCAGGAGTGTGAAGATCCTGAAGAGAATCATATCCAGCATATGACTTGCACGCGGTATCCGAACTCAAATAAGTTCTTCCCTCAGATGAGTTCATCGAGCTCATGTACTCGTTAACAAACTCAACCACATCAAGTGTGGGAGCGAGCATGGCTCTGTCCTTCAGGTAGCTAAGATCATCACCTGCACTCCTAAACACCGGGTAGATACTCTCAACAATAGTACCAATAGGATCCCCTTGTGAGTGTAGAAGAATATCATCGGGGATGTCAATATCGGCACAATCGTCGTTCGATCCACCAACTATACCATCGCCGATGTTTGCAAGCCACTCAGAGAAGCGCCTCAACTCATTGTACTCATCACCCCCACCATGGCTTCGAAGCTTCATATTCCGAGTCAGTCTCAGAACGATACAATCGTGCCATAACTTGGATGAATTGATGGTGGCATTGACTATATCGCTCCGACTGCCTTTAGGGACAATGGGGAGTATCTGTCTGAAATCACCACCTAATTTAACACACTTGCTTCCAAGTGGGAGATTTTTTCTCGATGGATCAACTGCTTCCATTAAGGCATGCAAGGTGTTGTCAACTGCCTGGAAGAAATATTTCTTCATCATCGGAGCTTCATCCCAAATGATCAACCGACATCGTATGATGAGTTTGGCCAAAGGACTCTGCTGGCTAATATCACATGTAGAGCCTTCCACTGGATTTAGTGAGATTTTGAATCGTGAATGCGCTGTTCGTCCGCCGAGCAACAAAAGTTATGCGATTCCGCTCAATGCAACATTCAACACAATCTCACCTTTGGATCTCAAAGCAGAAGACAACGCCCTCCAGACATACGTTTACTGGTGCCGTCGTAACCATAAACGAAAAACATGTGGCCGTAAGTATGGTAAACAAAGTCCATTATCGAGCCTTAAACATTCTGCTACTCATCAGTCATATTGGCAACCAACTCCTGGTTCTTAATAGCGAGTGCACGGGGATCGTAATTCAACTCGTCCATCACCAGTCTGTTCGTGGATGCCTCATTACGATCGAGATTAGGAAAAGGCATTGTACTGTATTCGCGTAAGCTCGTACCACGTTTGCGCAAAAATTTTTCAACTTCCGCCAAGGCCAAATTTTTTACTTCATCATCGCTCAGTACCAATTCTATAACACCAGTATACAAAGTTTATAAATATAAAGACAAAAGATGAAAAGGAAAAAAAACATAAGATTGTGACAGTAATTGATTGACTAACCTGGGTGTTGTAAAACCCTCCGACGATTGTATAATATATCATCCGATAGGTAAGGCCAACATGATTCCCACACGAACTCCAGTCGACCGAGAGTATCAGAAGACAACAAAGTAGCAAAAAGGTTTCTCAATGAATTGGCACTCGACCATTGGCTTGCCTCGATAATCCCTTCAATATACTCTTTGTCGTCCTCCACCAGACCAAGAGAAAAACACGCGTCACGATATGAATCGTGTTGTACTCCGTCCAACTTCATATAGTCTCAATGGCACATTGCACCTCGAACAACGTTGATAAGACACCGCAAGTAATATATGTCACCAGCACCAGGGGGACGAAGTACAAACGCGCGATACAGTTACTTCCTTTTCTAGGCTCCCAACTGTTCGTTTCCGAGTGCCACGTAAATTTGGTGGGAGCCTCAACGTACGTCAGTTTCCTAGATTTGGGATACTTCTTGTTAGCTTCCATCCAAGCTAAAAATTTGTTGCCGGCATTTTTATTTTTATTAACCACTTCATCGATCGAAACTTCATCGGGATAGTAACACGGATTCTCGTTCTCGAGGTGAAAATTCAAGCGCTCCAGTGATGGGTGCTTGTATTGAATCTCATACTCCAACAATCGCCACGCAGCCTCACAAGATGAAACATATCGACAATCATAGTACATCTTCACCTCGTCAACTGGCCTGCTAGAGGACTCATCTCCATTAGACGCATGGAGGGTGGCAGTAACACGATCGTTCCTATTGTTCACGTACTTGAACAAATATTTTATGGACCTGGACTGGTTGCACCACTCCATATTTATGTGTGCGTCGTACTTCAAAAGCAATTTTCTGTTATGGGGCACAATGTATCTGTTATCCAGGGGAAAGCCATTCTTTTCGATGGTCCTGCCATTATCACGACGTTTGTATCGTGGATAGCCTTCTTCGTCAAGAGTCGTGGTTTCAGAGAACTTTTTTGGAAAATGTTTTGTGCAACAATCGTTCGCCATACACGGAGATTTCGGGCGAACACTTCCGCAGGGGCCATGCATCATATGATCTCTAACAGCAGCATAGTAAAATGGATCGGTGGCCTCATCCGGTATTTCGGTAGAAATTATTTTATCTATGTCATCAGTAGTCTTTATCTTGAATTCACTTGCAAGGAAAAGTAAGATATGCGCATGCGGAAGGCCACGTTTCTGGAATTTAATTGTGTAGATTGCTGCAGTAAATCCATGGTTTTGTCAAAATTTATAAATAACAAAAAGTATAATAAAATTTATTAAGAAATCAGTTAAAAATTGGTTTAAAGAAATACATGCTTTCACGTCTCCAAACATCTTGTTACGCCGAACATGCCTCATCAACTGATCCAACTTGGTCTTAAAAATTCGGCAAATAATATCAGGACCACCCTCTGGGTTGAGGTTCTTCTCAGCAAGAAAGCGACTGATTTCGGGCCACTTCGGATTGCATGTGAAGGTTATGAAAATGTCAGGATAACTGGTCCAACGAAAAAAGGCCATTGCATCCTGATAGTTCTGAACCATATATCTAGCGCCACCCGTAAAGGATGACGGAAGTATGATTCGTTTGCCTTGAGAACCAAGATCCGTGTCACCACGCAACACATCGTCGGAAAGCATGTTGTACAATTCAGTTCTCAAGTTCTTCTGATTAAAACGTATATATCTGAGCCGAGCTCCCTCCACCATTGTATACGCATCCACAACAAACTGTTGATACAACCTCCGAGCGGAAATAATTGACGATATTTCGCAGTCACGATCGTGCATTCGATATTTGAAGAACCCCAACGGGCTGATAAATTTCCTCAACCTCTCTGTGATCCGTTTAAGACAGGAGAAGGGAATGTCCTCCCTATAGCCATCCTCGCCATATGGAAAAAGAATAGGATAATGGAGTGCCAAGTAAGAAGCATTTAACTCGTTTATCAGCTGCAAACGTCTGCTCCGATTTTCCACTATAATATCCCTGCTGCCCATGGCATCATCAAAATCCCCAACAACTAAGGCGACAACTTCATAAGTAGATGGTAAATTATAACGCCGGCCATCCTTATTCCTTCTATCGATAAGACGCATTTTAACTTCAATTTGCTGGTGTTGGTTCACTGTCTCTCGTGCCATCCTGAACGACTTGAACAAAACATTGTAATGATCGAGCAACTCCTTTAAACCGCGAAATACATCCTCATCAAGATTATTTCGTTCAGAACCTCTCCTGAAATAAAGAAAAATTTCTTTTTTATTAATAATGTTGATGTAAATCGCAATGAAAAAAAACCTAGTACTCAATTTTGAATGCTAAAATATAGGATATACCTCACAGAAGACAATCAGTTTCATACTTCGTTCTCCGTGTCATAGATGTACAATTGAGTAAATTTCGGAGGAGCCCCATGGTCGGGTAGCAAACTACCCATTAAATGGTAGTTCTGACCATGTAAACGGAAGACGGGTGGGTCGGTTCCCTTGTTTATGTCGGTATCAATTTTTCCACCCATGGATGTAAAGCAGAACATGTTTTTGTAAGATCGAATATTTTCTTGAAAGCGCTTGCTCCGTGGACCTGATCCAAAAATCACCTCACATAGAAAGGGGGGAGGAGTGTAAACAGGTGGAAATTTGATGAATCCATTGTTGCAGCAACCAGAATACTTAGGGACTTTAGGTTTAGATGGCTTGCCCAATCGCTCAGAGTACCAAAATCTCGCGCCACAGTGAAGGCAACGGAACGATGCGTCGCCAATATCCCAATATTCTGTGGCATTGAAAATTAAAAATACATTTTAAATCTATTATATATTTTGAATATTGTCAAAATCTACATAGGCATGCATAAAAAGACCATAAAAATAAATAAAATAAAATTACTATATCTTTTAAAAAATATTTAGCATTTTTTATTGATGATTTCAACGAACCGGAAGATAATGTGGAAGTGTTGATGGTAATGGAAGGAGGGATTGGGTGCCTCGGACGACCGACTGCATTCCCCCAACGTGGCAAGCTCAAAGATGAAACTGCAGGACATTCAATAATTCAATAATTGGTAGAGTAATTGAATATATAACATGTAAATATAGATTATAATTTTTTTTTTCACATAAATTAATCTAAACAAATTGATTGTGTTTTTGGAATTAATATTTGTGATGGGTCGTAAGGTGAGTCTTGGACGACCGCCTACGTTCTTCCGAGGTGGCAAGTTTGATGATGAAACTGAAAAAAATATACGCGAGGTAAATATATATGGGTAACTAAAATTTATATTTTGTTATAAATAAAATGAGATAATTTGATAATTAATTTAGGAATACCTTTGTTGACATGGTTAACCATCGAAGTCGGTGTCACATTTTCATCATCCTTAATTGTAAGGTCAATAAAAGGTACCGAACCGATCGAAGAAGCATTAGCAAGTTGGGATATGGAACTATTTTCAGGCGACCACTGTGAATTTATGATTGGAACACCTAAAATGAAAGGTTTTATAACATTAAATAAAACTAATCATATCAATAACAATATTTATTATAATTACACAAACAATAATCAATTATAAAAGATTACAAAAATTACAAAAATATAATCATACCGGGTTTTTGAATGATAGGACACGCATTTGTAGGAACTGGTGGTGTTTGGAACGAAGGTGTTACGGTCGACAAATTTGATAATGAACCTACAATAATTAAATAACTAAAGTTGAATTTAAGTTATAACATCAGTAAATTTTCTAATGTCAAACTTAATATTATAAAAATTTTTGAAACACTAAACTGGAACAATCACAAAAAAACAAATTGAAGTTTATAATATAATAGTTTTGTATAAATATATACATGTAGTATTTTTACTTGTTTAGATGAAACAAATTAGTAATACAATGATTTGGAACATGATTTAATGGGCTTTTAATTTAAATGGTAGCAAATTATTGAGCCTATTTTGAGCCCACATATTTAAATGACACCAAATGAATTTAATTTGCAACACAAATAATTGGGCCCATATTTGTATACACATATTTGTACAGATTTTGAGCCCATCATATACACACGGTCGAAAAATAACGTCTCATGCGCCTTTAAAATGGAGACATGTTCAAATGTATTCGCCCTATTTTAGACGCGTGTCATGGACGCAGTGATTTTATTTAAATAGCGCAAACCCTAACGATGGCACAATTTTTGCCATTTTTCTCGCCTCTCTCTTAACTCTGTCGCTGTTTCTCTCTCTCATTTCTCTCTCTACTGAAATTTTTCGACCATTTTTCGTCGATAATCTCGCAAAAACGATGTTTCACCGGTGATTCAAGTCGATTTTTCAAACCGATACCAAAAAGTACATGAGATCTTATTTTTTCGAATCAAAAGGGAGACGACAAAGTGAAATCGGCCTGATTTTACAACATCGATTTACTAATTCATAGGGTATCATGACAAATTGGGCGATTACATATAGATTTCTGCAGATCTATATTTTTTTTTTAATTTTTTAGTGTTTTAAAGCATTTTTTATTTTTAAAATGTGATTACATAATGGATTTGAACATATCTGTACATATATGTTATGTTTTCGTTTAATTACATTATTTATATTGCTAGATCTGTTGAAATATCCAATTTTTCAATTTTTAAAATTTTTTTCTTCGATTAAAATGTTGATGCGATCATAGATCTGTAAAGGTCTCTATTATTTTTGTGTTTATTTATTTTTTGAACATTATATTTTGAGATTCCCGGTTGGGGTTTTCTTCCGACATGCGTGTAACACGCATACTGTGAACTTAAGCGGTCGATTAAGGCCCTAATGTTGTAATAAATCACAGTCGGATTAACATTTTTGCCTATGTTTAAATTTTTGAGTTTTATTGTCGGGATTGAAGTATTTTCCAATCTTGATGTTTCATTGAATAGGATATCAGTGACTGATACAGATTTAATTATTTTTTTTTCGAAAATAAACTCACTGTGTTATTTTAAAGTTTCAGTTTAATGTTAATTTTTTTTTGGGTTTTTTTCTCGAAAATCTACATATGAACACTCATATCAATATGTTTTCAAATAAAATGCACTGTTTTATTTTAATTTTTCAGTTTTCTGTTGAAATTTTTAAGCAGATTTATAATTTTGTTAGTCAGTTTCAAAGCACAGAGAGATAATAAAGGTAATATATAAGTTCATTGTCAATATTTTGTTTTCAATACTAATAAGTATGCTACTATGTATAATAACGTTCACATAAATGTAATGACAAATCGTGTGCAGCTACAACAACTGTTCTAATAGATGTTCATTTCGATTGCAGGTATAAAAAACGAAGAAGGGACGACCAAAATACAAACACAAAAGATAAGTGTCAGCTACTTTAATACATTTCTAGATTTATTCATATCTCTAATGAAAACTGATACGGTTTCTAACACTTATCATTTTGGTTTTGAAGATAAAATAATCTATAAGAACTGGAGTAATCGCATTTGGGCTACAAAATGCGAGAATCAAAGGCAATCATATTTGGAAAAGACGGTAAGAGCAAAAGAAGGTAAGACTTCTGAACAAATGTGATATTAGGCATAGGACACAGTCGCAGTGTGTACCATTTGATGGTGCAACATCATTTTTTACATTTGTTTCCTATTATGTTGTGGCCGCTAAGCCTCTTCATGATTTGTGTTTTGGGTAAAAATAAAATGAGTATAGTGGAAGAATGATTGAAATAGAATGAAGTACCAAATGTTAAGAGTAATGTGTAGAACAATAGGATGTTATATTTGGAAATTAACACAAAATGAATAAGGGACAAAGGGGTTTATATAGAAAAATTTAGTCATCTTTATATTAGGTAAATGAATCAATACATTTAGTAGGAGTTAATGTAGTAAATGATGATTGATTTGATGATTTTTATTTTGATATTTCAACTTAAACTGATCGATTTTCTTCACTTATGTTAGTTAATGTGGTAATAAAAATGATCAGTTTTTATCATGATTTATGTGATTGATTGATTTGGTGCAATTAATGATATTTCTTATTTGTAATTTGCTAATTACCTAAATACTTAGTGACTGAAATTAAAAACACAATAATTCCCAGGAATATTTAGTGTTTTTTGACTTGAATTCTTGTATTTGGAAGGTATTAAACAATTACATATTTGTGAAATATGTATGATTGCTGAAATCAGGATTTAATTAAATTGAGTAAATTCTTTGTTGAAACTGATATATTTTCTTGATACCTTAACCCTGAAACTGATTTGTTTTATTGATTTATGTTTGATATATAGTTAATGTGATAATAAAATTGATTAGTTTTTTTCATGATGTATGTGATTGATTGATTGAATGTTATTCCACATTTGTGACTTGGTAATTAGCTAATTACCTAAATAATTAGTGGCTGAAATAAAAAAACCTTTTAATACACTTAGTTTTTTTTATTATTTTCACTGGAATACTTGAATTTGTTCAATCATAAAAAGTGCTATGTTTTGAAATTAGTGATATTTTGATACTGTTCAATCTTAAAATTTTAAATGTTTTGGATGAATGAATATTAAGTGTTGTTCAATGGACATTTCATATTAACATTATTTAATTCTGTTTTTTGCAAGCATGATTATAAGACATTACTTATCTGGTTTTCTTAATGTTGAACCCCTAAATGCATGATTCAGTTACTGCCTGAACTTGATATTTAAATTGTACTTTCTGTTATGCCACAACACTTAAAGGATTTGTTTGTTGTTTACTCTTTAAGGGGTTTTGTGTTAATACATGAATATGTGAGCTAGGGGTCCCATGTTCTACACTGGCTTAATGGCTCTCAGCAAATTCTTTTTTTTCCGCAAGGGATCGTGATGTCTTTCTACGAAATCGCATGGCTTCGTTTTGAATAAAAATTGATTTCTATTTGAATAAGAATTTCCAAAATTGAAAGATTCAACCCCTACTTTCGAGAATAAGAGTGCAGCTAAGGTTTACTTTGCCTAATTCGTTCTAACATGAACCCACAACTTGTTGTTTAAATTGTACTTTCTTGGTGCTGTTTTGATGTTATGTGTTAAATGATTAAGTGCTAAATGATCATTTCTGATGTTTTTATTTCTTGGTGCTGTTTTGATGTTATGATTAGAGTTAAAAAAAATATTCTGATAGAGGTTTTTGCTTTAGACAACTTGTATAATCTGATGAAGTTAATTGCTTAC